TGTGTTCTTGCTGAAAAAATTTAATCCCTGAAAAATTGGAGTAATTTCTAAGGTTGGATGCTAGTGGTTCTATAAGTAGGGCGAAAATTATGGGGGATAGGGGACAGCCTTGTCTAGTACCATTAGATATTTGAAATGGTTGTGAAAGCGTACCATTAGTGAGGACTCTGGCTGAAGGTTTGGAGTAAAGGGATAGAATCGCTGATAACATCCAATCCGTAATGCCTAGTTTTTGAAGAGTTAGTGACATAAAACGCCAGTGAATGCGGTCAAACGCTTTTTCTGCGTCAAGTGATAGGAGAATTGAAGGTTGTTTGTTTGATTCAAGAAGGTGTACTAGTGATATAAGTCGACGAGTCGCATCAGGGGCCTGTCTACCTGGTACAAATCCCACCTGATCAGCTTTGATTAGCGTCGGCAGGTACGGAAGGAGTCGTTGGGCTATTATTTTGGCATATATTTTCAGATCCGTATTAAGTAATGAAATTGGTCTATAGTTTTGGACTAATTGGGGGTTTTTACCCGGTTTCGGGATAGTAGAGATTAGCGACTGTAGCATATCAGAAGGAAATTCCACTTTAGAAGCAACGTGGTTATAAAGGTCAGATAGATGGGACTTGAGATTAGTCGCAAATTTTTTATAATATTCATTAGTAAAGCCGTCGTTTCCCGGAGATTTGTTCATGGGGAGTTTAGTTATGATTTTCTCAATCTCTGCAGGTGAAATCGGCACAGAGAGGGAGGCCAATTGAGTAGGTGTAAGATGGGGAAGTTCGGTTTGGCTTAAAAAATTTTCAATTGACAGGTTTGTTGGTTGAGTTGTGTCAGGGTCATCTTTTATGTTGTATAGCGATTGATAATAACACGCAAACGCATCAGCTATGTCTTGTGGATTAGATAGAGGGATGCTGGAAGTAGGATGCTGAATCGTGGCTATTTTGTTTTTAATTCGTTTCTGTTTAATGGTTTTGGCAAGAAAAGAGTTAGTCTTGTTACCAAGCGCATAGTATTGGCATTTTGTTCTTTGGAGGTTCGTATCATAAACGTGTAAGAGAGCAGTGCGGAGTTTGTCCCTATCTTGATTTAAAGCCGCGGTTATGGTGGCATTTGGATTCTGTTTATTAATCTCCTCGTTTCTACGTATAGAAGCAAGGAGAAGGTCTATTTGCTGAGATCGTTGTTTTTTAACGCGAGAAGTCAATTGGATGAGGATACCTCTCATATAAGCTTTGTATGTTAGCCAAAGTGTGGTAATAGAAATTTCCGGGGTAATGTTGGTTTCAAAAAATAAGTCATGTGCATCTAATATGAATTTCTGGTTTTCTGGTGTATTCAAAATTGCAGAGTTGAGTCTCCAAATAGAGGCGGAATCGCCGACCGCTGGGTGTCATCCAGGGAAATGGTGACCGGTGCATGGTCAGACCAGGTTATAGTTCCAATTTGGGAGGACGTCACATGTTGTAAAGTCCATTTGTCCGTAATAAACATATCCATTCTAGAATATGACAGATGTGGCGGTGAAAAGTAGGTGTAGTCTCTTTCCGCACCATGTTGGCATCTCCAGATGTCATATAAGTCATGGTCGTGCATAAAGCGGTTAAAATTGAGGTTGCTGGGTTTTTTATTAGAGGAAGAGTCCAGAAGTGAGTCACTAAGAATATTAAAGTCTCCGCCAATAATAAGTCTGCCTTTCTGATGTTGGGAGATAAGGTTGTGGAGTTTCCAGTAGAATTTCAATTGTTTACTATTAGGGCCATAAACGTTCACTAAGGTGTACGAGATCTCATTAATTAGGCATATCAAGATAATATAGCGCCCTTGCGGGTCAATTATAATGGAGGTAGGTTTGAAAGAGAGGGCGTCATTGATAGCGATAATAACTCCGTTCTTTTTTTTCTCGTTGGTTGCCATAAATAGTTGAGAGAAACGAGGTATATACAGCTTCGGGGTTTTTTCCGTGGCAAAATGCGATTCCTGCACGAAGAGTAGGTCAGTATGATATTTCCGGATTTCTCTTGCTAGCATCGATCTCTTGAATGGGGAGTTAAGGCCTCGCACATTAAAGGATTTGATGGTGATCATTTGTAGTTAGGGTCTCGGTTTACAGGCATAGTCGCGTTGTTTTTTATTCCGGTGGTAGTCATGGCCGTAGGAAAAAAGTAGTGTGTCAGATGTGAACACTTGTTGGTGCCAGTAGGAGGGATAAAAGAGGATGGAAAAAGAACACTAAAAAGAAACTTGCGCATAAAGCAAGTAAACGGTGTAGCTAGGTTTGCTACAACAAAGGTGGGGGAAGCAAACAGGATACGACCCTCAAGAGAGTCATATCTATACATAACTATGAAATTGTAGATCATTTGGTTCAGGCCGATCGCCAGAAGTATAAAAGGTTAAAGAATGCCTCCAGGGAAAGAGGGTAGGAAATATATCCACGGCTAGTGCCGCTCAGCCCTTCAGGTTGCTTCCATGTTTTGAACGGAACCAGGGTTGTTTTTCTGTGGGTCTGCCGGTAAAATGCTCCAGGTTTTAAGGAAGTCCAGGCCTGCCTCTAGGTTTTTAATATTATAGATTCTGCCTTGATGGCGCACTATTAGCTTAGTGGGGAATCCCCATTGATAGGCCATATTGTGATTTCTAAGCGCTTTCGTGATTGGTA